ACAGAATTCATTATTATTTGAAAATTCACAGTCGGAAAGCAAGCCCTTAGAAACGACCGTTGTTGCTACTTTCTTAAGACAACAATGGGACTGATGTTAAAGCCCGCAATTCTGAAATTGCGTTAATTTCGCGGAAAAATTAAATTGGCGGCAATAGGGATCATTCGTCGCTGGTGTTCCATAAGTGGTTGTCGGAAACGTTTTAATCAATTTGACGCTTGAATCGCATTACGTTGCACATGTTTACATAAATAACCACAATCGACACTCGCTAATTTCACCAAACTAAACTCCAAAATTGTTGTGTCCCCGGCTGCAATTATTCTGAAGGGGGACCACAGATAACCAAAAGACCATGAAATTCTTTTAAAATGGAGAGAAGGCATCAAGAGAGTTGATCCACCCATCAAAAATATCTAGGGAAACCTGGCGGAAAATATTCGACCAAGTTTGCCATAACCAGCTGATAACCATGTCATGCCAAGAGACAGAGACATATTATATGTCTCTGCAGGAGATTATATAACAGCAGGATTAGGTTATTATATATTTATATTTTTCTTATATTTAGTACAGTATTTAAACTCTTTGTTTTATTTTTTCTCGATTAAACAGCCCAATAATTTGACAGGTTATTATTTATTATTAACCAACTTACTACAATATGTATAGAAATGCCCATGCTTTATAAAGGGAAAATTTCGACAACTGGTCATTATGAACGGAGAAATTGCTACAGCCATGCATTACGAAATCTCAGTCATGCATTACGAAATCACACCCGTGCATTACGAAATCACATCCATGCATTATCAACAGGTGAAACGGGACATCGATTAAATCAAAATGTCGTTTATTTCTTCAAATAAGTGACAACTTTTTTCAAATTTTTTTTAACTTAATATCATAAAAAAAAGTTTAAATGATGTTCAGTGTTTTGTAACGACTTGAAACGGAAATATTACACAGCCTTTTTCGAGTACGACTTTCGATTATTATCACTGTTTCATTTTCGTTGATCAATTATCAGAACGCGATTACTCAGAGTGAGAATAGTTAAACTGTCTGAATTATTCTTCCCAGCTACTTTATATTTGCTAGATGAAATGAATTGTAATATCATAAAATAAAGTACTTGGATGAGAAATCAGAAATTACATCTGACAATGTTGACCAAAAACCCATCGTGAATGCGAAAAGACAAGTTCAGCTATGAATTCCTGTATCTTCTTCACGGTAAGATTCTTATTCTTTGTTTAATCGAAGAATTAAAACCACTTACGGTAATAAAAGTGTTATGAACTGGCTTTTTTTTGTATTGGTCCTGTTATAGATTCGTGGTTAGCTTTATTTGGATCCGAGGCTCGAAGACTGTTCTTGTCTTGAATGAGGTTGCCTTAGTTAGTTAATAAAAGTATCAATATATGGACTTTTTCATATTGGTCCTGTAACATACCCTTGGTATTAATAATGGCCTCGGACAGTTGTAATGGCCCTCGGCGCTGCCTCGGGGCCATTACAACCATCCTTGGCCATTATTTATACCTCGGGCATGTTACAAGGGCAATATGAAAAAGTCCATACATTAATACTATATTAAAATAGGGGGATGACACAGGGATGTATTTTATTCTTCAAATATACCCTCACACTTTGTAAGTTTTTTCCTAGTCTTCACATTTTTTCACCCTTTTACCTTTGTTTGCATTGTAAAATTAATAAGAAATAATAATTATGTTGTGCACTTAATTATAGCAAGTGAAATATATTTCCCTGACAAAACAATGCATGAAAGGAAGAGAACTACATGTATTGGGAAATATGACAATCCCTATATTGCATTCTAAAAAAACCATGGTACATATGAGCATAATTTTTCTATTTGTTTGTCGCAATAAAGTCTGAATTTTCTGAGGACTTTACATTAAATTTATGGCAAAAGCTGTCAGAACAATTATTTTTTATTCTTCAAAGTTGGAAATCAAGAGTATTTTTGTTAGAAAAAAATATATCACACATCCCTGCATTAAACGCTTGTCCTTTATGAATGATAAGAAAAATTTCTGAACCTGCAGTTTATTAAATAACATGATGCTTTGTGTTTTCCTGTTTTAATATTTCAGAAGCCATCATGGATAACAGACTTTTTACCCAACCATGAAGTGATGAATGGAATACATCTTTATGTTTGAAATGAATTCATGGTTAAAATCCAAGTGGCTGCAAGTGCGAAGATCAATACTTCTGTCAGAACCAGATGGAAAAAAAAATTGAAAAAGGTGACTACAAATGGCAAATAGTGGAATTATGGAACAGGATTTATTTACTAGCCAAGACAGTTCCTTATATTAACACACAAACTTTTCTGAAAGGGAAATTCCAACTAGATCAGAAGAAAGTAGTTTGTGATAGAAAAGTGTCGTCCAACCGAATTCACATTAAAAGAGTCCTTGTATTGTCTAAAAGTTACACAAGGGTAAAATTCTCCGCTGTGGCAGGGGAATAAACAATCTGAAACATGTAATTCCACGTGGAAACTGCTAATTCAACTTGGTTTCAGAATTATATGTGTTTGCTGTGTTCTTACTAATTTCATAAAAATACATTGTAAATAAATAATATATGCATAAAAGATGAAATGGATTTACATGCAATTGATTTTATTATTTGTTCTAATGTGGTGCTGTTTCACCACTGCTTTCCCAGTTAGCACCAAAAAAAAAAGAAAAATGTTGAAAAAATATTGTATAAAAATATCAAAATCATGCAAAAATAATTGGCGTTAAAAATATTTTCAAAACATTTTCATGATACTTTTAAAACATCATTAAAATGTTACTGAATTTTGACGACAATGTTTGTAAAATGTCTTATAAATGATTTGAATGTGTTTGTTAATCAAATATCACTGAAACATTCTTAAAACATAAAAATTCATTTCTGCAGGATAAAATGTTTTGAAAAAGTTCAAAAAATATTTTTTAACAAAATGTTTTAATAATCTTCATATTCTCAAAAAATCATTAAAAAATCATTTAAATGTTATTCGAAATATCATTATAAAAATGTTTTCTAACATAATCTTTCAAGTCTTTTTATAAAATATTCAGAAACATATAAACAATGTTTAATATCAGAGACAGATTTAGGAGTGGGGTGCCTGGGTCCCCCCTTTATGGCCCTTATGGAGCTACATTTATGGTAAATCCAGATTTTTTTAATTACTCTCAAAACTTTGTCTAGTTTGGGGCCTGATGACCCCTTTTAATGCCCCCGCAACTGAAAGTTGGGGGCATATTATTTTACCCCTGTCTGTCCTTCTGTCTGTCTGTCCGTTCGTCCCATTATGGGTATATAGTTATTCAGCACAACTCCTCCTACAGTTAGAATCCTAGGAAGTTTTCACTTTGCTATCTGTTTGTTCATATATTGAAAATGTGCATGTGGTTATGGTTTTGATTTTTATTGATATTTGCCCTTTTGGGAGATAGTTGAACTTTGTCATTTTTAGGGTATAAGCGGTTAAATGTTATAGTTATTTTAAAATAACACTTTGCATCTACGGGGGAATCAATTGTGTCTCCCAGACACAATAATATCTCAAAGAAAGTCCTACATTGACTTTGTTTTAATACAGTTACTTCAGAGTGGAGTGGGGGGGTCACTTTATCTAGATTCAAAATCCTGGATCAACATTTGAAAAAACAACTGCCGTCATACTGATCTTTACCCCACATCTCCTTTTACATTTGTCTGCATGCTGTTGATGCCGGCTTAATCTATATATGTTTTGTCTATTTTTGTCGGGTTAATGTCTCATTGACAAACCCCAATGCCATACCGCATAATTTATTTCACTTACATAGAGGTATTAATTTTTATACGACCGCAAAATTTTTTTGGGATCGTATAATGGTATGATGTCGTCGTCGTCGTCTGCGTCGTCGTCCGAAGACACATTGGTTTCCGGACAATAACTTTAGTTTAAGTGAATGGATCTTTATGAATTTTTTTAAGAAGGTTTAATACCACAAAAGGAAGTTTGGGGATGATGGTCCCAACCGTTTAGGAATTTGGGGCCCAAAAAAAGCATTTTTCTAGTTTCAGGATAATAACTTGTGTATAAGTATATCGACTGCTCTGAAATTGTACCACAATGTTTAATACCACAAGTAGAAGGTTGGGATTCATTTTAGGGGTTATAGGGCCAACAGTTTAGGAATTAAGGGCCAAAAAGGGGCCAAAAACAAGCATTTTTCTAGTTTCCAGACAATAACTTGTGTGTAAGTATGGATCTCTTAGACATTGTACCACAAGGTTCCATATAACAAAGGGAAGGCAGGGATTGAGTTTGGGGTTAATTGCCCCAAACATGTAGGAATTAGGGGCCAAAAACAAGCATTTTTCTAGTTTCCAGACAATAACTTGTGTGCAAGTGTATGGATCTCTCTGAAATTGTACTACAAGGTTTCATACTACAAAGGAAAGGCTGGGATTGAGTTTTGGGGTTATTGCTCCAAGGGGGGGTTCAAAAAATTGGGGGGAGGGAATTTTTTCCACAATTTTTTTTTAAGGGATTCATATTTTTTTTCAAAATTTTTAAAATTTCGAATTTTTGAAAAATTTTAAAGAAGAAATCTTCAATGGATTTATAAGATCTTTGACCACATTTATTTTGTGTCAGAAACCTATATTATGTCAAAAATTTGAATACAATCCAAATTCAGACAGTATCAAGCTTGAATATTGTGTCCAAATTTGCCCCAACTGTTTAGGGTTCGACCTCTGCGGTCGTATCAGGCTGCGCTCAGCAAAGCATTTTATTTCAGATTATAAATATCCTCATGCATTTCATTTGGTCCAGCATTGAACAAATTTTTTCTTAGAAGTGTTTTTTTATCTTTTGTTTGATCATGTGTAGCATCTGTCATTTTCTGTCTGAACAGCTTTTCGATGGTTTTCTTTGCTGTCTTGGTCAACAATACACAAGATAACAACAATAAGAAATGCAAAATTTTTATTTAATTTTGTCATTTCACTGTTCTTTTTCAATTTTTTCTTTTGTTCCATTCTTTTTATTTCTCTTGACTTCTGCTTGCTTCTGTAAAGAAAATGTTAACAGATTAGTCCTGTTGTTTAGTGAGTAAACTAGTGGAGATAATTTAAATTTCATCAAATTACACAAGAAAATTTTATTTTAATCCAGTCTGGTTTCATAAAAATTTATATTGAAAAGCGACATCTAATCAGTGTGGCTGGATTCGGAAGATATACACGTACATCTGTGGAGTTTCAGGTGTATTATTATCATACGAGTCTGTAACGGTAGAGTTCACCAGTACTAAAATAAAACTGTACAGTATCATTTTCCCAACTGAGATTAGGACCTGTAACCTTTACTTGGTCTTACAAAAAATCAACTCTCTTAATGGTAATTGTATATTTTAACACAAATACATTTTTGTGATATAGATTGAGGCTATAAAAGGATAAATACCTTCACACAATCTGCTCCTCCAGAATGTTTTGAATCTAAGCTTATAAATTTTGGCTCTTCTAATTGATTCTACTAAAGATAAAAAAAAGTCAAAATATTAAATAAAATACAGTCAAGAAAAAATCACATAGTACTAGTCAGCTACAAAGGTCACAACATTCAAAAATGAAAGAAAATTCAAACAAGAAAACTAATGGCTTGATTTTAAGTTATAAAATAAGACAATAAAAAACAAATATATATGTATATATATCAGAAATTAACCAACTATAACTACTAAATTAAAGGCTCCTGACTAGGATTGACACATTAACAATTATCTATACTTACAAAAAATATATCTGGCCTGGCCTTGAAGGGCTAGCGATTAATCACAGGCACTTGTCTCAGAAAAAAATTTCCTATAACACGTGTTATATTAAGGTACATAGGAAATTTTTTTTTGAGACAAGTGCCTGTGGGATTAATCATGAAAACTGTATAATGAATATATTGTCTTTCATGGTTACAAATATCTACCAGTAGAAAATGTCTGCAATATTTCACTATTTTATATTACTTTACTAACTAATACATTGTTGATGACGCTGAAAACAGCATACCATATATATGCTATGTCTTGCTTTTGCACTCTGTCAAGGCAAGACAAAAAGGAAAGAAATCAATGATTCAAGTTCAAATATATGTGATTGATTGTTGGAATCTTAATGTCAAGTGACAAATATTTAATGCATGTTCCAGCCAAAGTTTAATTAAACAAGCTAAGGAATGGTTTGAATTTTTTTTAAACATGTAAGTAAATATTTTTTAAAGTACTATTTATTTACATAGATTAAATTCTGCTTGCCATGAAATATTTGAAAAACCAGATATCATGTGGATTTAATGGTATAACTAATGAAATTTTGAAAAATTCTTGTATGCTGAATGTTGGGCATGATATATATATAAAATTATAAAACATTACTTTTTTCTTAAAAATTAATAAAATTTTCTCTCTAGAAAGAAGTTCTTATTGGAGAGAAAATTTATTTAACCCATATTCAAAGGAAGATGTTTTAATAGCCCTTCAAACAACAGAGGTATAACCCTTTTGACTAGTTTAGGAACATTTTTTTCTAGGGTATATAATAGTTTAGAAAACTTTTTGCAAATAAAACTTCATTATAGATGTACATATCTTTTGAAATTTCCAAAAAAGGCCCCATCATGTTATATATAAAAAGTTTGCAGAGAAGGGCCTTTATATTTTTTTTACAGTGTCTTTTTTTATAAGTTGATGAAATTGAGACATATTAAAAGATTTAAAGCTTAAAAGTATAGAATCATGTCTTGTTTAAAAGTGGTATTGGGAGGATTTAATACTTTCCTTGTGTAATTGTCCCATTTTCAAAAGTAATAAATTGTTTATATATAATTGAGACACAAAAGACTATTAGTATAATAGTCCCAGTATATAACAAGTTAAATTTAATTTTCCCTTGCCCAGTCTGCATGGTCTGTATCACATTTCATGGCCAACAGATAATATCTGTATAGAACCCCTATTTTTAATTATTATTATACAAAATCATTTAAATGTATCCTAGAAAGTTTAATTATATATTCATGACTATTTATATGTTCAGTGGGGTTTTTATTTTGCTTTTTTCTAACTTGGGGTACATGTATTTGTCACTTGGTATTTCACACTAAATATTTCATATAAAATTGCATTTCAAAATTATTTAGGGGACATTTCTGATTTGATTTTATGCAACTTGGTACCAACAGCAGAATAATTATTTGTTTATTTTCATTTTCTTCTGAGATAAACATAAATATTATTGTCTATTATAAACAATCTTGCTATATATTTATATTTCAACCAAATTAAATTGTAAAACATAGTATATGTGTTCACATCAGGAGAAAATAAAAACAACAGACATTGACAGATGACAGAGCTATGACTTAACAAACAAATACTCTTTATATACAATTCAGCGTTTTTCAACACATTATTTGTAAAAATACAACCATAAATGCCTCAAATAAACGTCTTTTTATATGAAATATATAGCCCAAAAATGTTGGTGACGAAAGCTTTTTGGCAATGTTCTGTAGCGGCGTTTCCGCTTATAATAGAAGAAATCTCAATATTTTTTAAATACATCGTTTACCTTTCTATAAGATCTATATTTCTGTCTCTTGTGACAGCTCCACGTAACGTTAGTTCTGGAACAGACCAGGTATTGTAATCATCGAATGCCATTGTTACCTTGTAAATACAGATGCAAGCGTTTTACGTAATTGAAGCGTTCAAGTAACCACTTATGGAACCGCAGCGCCGCCACGCGTGAAAAGTCGTGAATGATTCCTATTTGGGAAATTTTCTATTTTCTGTTTCTTACTTGCTGTTGGAGTCAAAAATCGATGTCTTTCTATCTTTTAAGCATGTTTCATTGGAATAGTCCTAGATTTGTCTTATTATTAAAGAAATTAATACCCAAATTGGCCGTCCTTTAACAAATATGTTAAAAAATTGCTCGAAGTTATCTGTTAGTTTTTCTTCTTTTTTCACAGATAAACTAAGATTATATATAATCTTCCAACAAAAAATAAAACGCATCTCAAATTACAAAAAATATATTTCAAGACTAACGTTCTGTCACCCCTTAGGAAACCCCGTTTGAACTAAATTCCGAAAGAAAGACATTATTTGACATTGTAGTTTTTTGGTAATACACATCGATGTCAACATGCATTTGAACAGAATGTACACACATTTAGTGTGTTTGTTTGAAAAAGCAATGGCAAGTTCATCTGTGAATTTGACTGGATTTTAAATTATTCTCTTTAAGTGAAATGTTTGACTCTCACTGAAACAATAAGGTAAGGAAATTTTAAAACTGTCTTTACACAACCTTGAATTTGAGATGACTGGAAAAAATCATTCATTGTTGGTCATTGTTATAAATATATTTTTTTTGTAATAAAGGAATCCTGCACAAATAAATGCAAATATTACATGTACATTGAAAGGAAACATAAAAGTCTTGTCCTTTGAACTTAAAAACAATCTCTTTCAGACTTGCATTTTAATCACTTTTATTCAAAGCACTGTGTGACTTTAATACTTGTGTTCTAAAAAAAAAAAGTATTCATTTAGCACTCTTGAAACTGCATTGGAATACTTGTATGCCTAGTTATATTTTTTTAAATAGCAGAATAAAATGGAAATCAAATCTTTCTTCTTTTATTATTCGCAAGTACATGATTAACCATTTTAAAAATAATTATCCATTGGTTTAGGCTATTTTTACAATTAAGGTCCATTCACTTAACCTACAGTTAAGGTATGGAATCAATGAGACAAAATTTACTATTAAATTAAGTTTAATTATGCACAGCTAGCAAACCAATTTCAAATTATGAAGAATTTACATTGAGAATACTTTGATTATTATTTCTTTTAAATTTATATGAAAAAGGTAGGATCAGGTATACATTAATATTGCAGGGGAATTCAACATTTTAATCCTGTCTAGATGCAGTATTTATGCATATTTTGGCTAGTCCTGACCTTTATAAAATTAAATGGAAATTTATTTCTGTGTTGGTATTATTTAGTTACAGCAGTTAAAATATATACTAAAATATCAAAGTAACTCTTGGAATAATATATTAATTTACTCAGGTAATAGTAAAGCCCTATTCTAGTCCTGAGGCTGAAACTGGTTTGAAAATGATAAAAAATGTTTACCTAATTGTTTTACATAATATCTGTTGTTTAAAAATATATTTAGTAGATAGATACTTAATTATTTTAATAACATTCACTTGGTAATAACATCATATGGTGCTAAATATTTAAAATAGTATAAAGAAGTTTGTTCATGAAAAGTGTCAACAAAGGGACGTAACTCGTAAAATACAATCGGAAACGCTTCGTCAGAAATTTCGACACATCGAAGTGGCACATTTGTGTATTACAGCGTATTAAGTGGCACAAATTTGACACAAGCTAGTTCATAAAAAACCTCATCATATATTTTAAATTCAGCGTAGGTTCCCCAGAAGTTAAGAAAGAAATTTCAACTGATGTGTTGAAAAAAGTTGACGCGACGAGTGACGACCTGGGGTTTGAAGGCTTCGTATTCTAATTCAGTAAGCTTAATCAAAACAATTTATACGTTAGAACTTCTAAAAAGTATACACAATTGTCATTTGTAATGTACAGCATGCTTTGATTTCATTTGATAAGACTTTTTGGAGGAAACAGATTCGTTTCAGTTGAAGAAAAAATGACCCAAAAAATGCCCAAATACGGTAGTCACATGACTTCCATTGTTGCTTTAAGAAATGGGGTCAAACCGGGGTCAGCTTTCTGACTGTCATTTCTGTCACAAAACACAAATCTCTCATTTAATTAGGAGCTCTTCAAAATTCAAACGAATGCTGCAGACACAAATCATAATTTACATATCCACCCTTCCTGCGTCAAAATTATACAATGAATATAAAACTTTCTATGTCTTCCAATAGTATATATTGTTTAAATCATGTCCTATATTGTTCATTTTATTTAATCCGTTGAAATGTAACACTTGGCGTTTTTGACGTTTTCGGCGTATCTGTTAAGTGTCTGATGAAAAACAGTAGATATTTGAGGTCTTTTTTACGACCTGAAATTTTTTTTAAACGCAAAAAGATGTTTTTAAGTGTATGAAAAAAATATATAGAAATTTCAAGGGAACTGATTTATTATTTTATTATTTTTAAGAAAATAAATACGATCTTTTTGTTTGTGTTTAGTCAAAATGTCACAAAACGCTTTTTTCCACATTTAAGTTAAAAGTATTGTAAGTCATATAAAACAATTTTGGAGGGAAAAACATTTAGAATTATAGCAACAAAAAAACACTATGGAACAAAAAAATCTATACTTCAGGGATTTTTTGGAATCCCATTTTCAACCATATAAACATATTAACGTCACAGTCAGCGACTACTTTTGTCTAGTCATAGTGTCACACAATGCTTATTTACTCGTTTTGACGTTACGTTCTGTATAACTTGATATGTAG